AAACTCACTCTCACGCGTCGGCGCGCATCGTCACGCATCGTCACGCAGCGTCACGCATCGTCACGCAGCGTCACGCAGCGTCGCGCAGAGTCACGCAGCGTCAGCGGACACCTTCACAAACCTATGCTGATAGGGCATTGTTGGCGATAGAGGGGTCCCAATTATCGACGAAGACGCATGAAGAGGTACGAAGACGCAAGAAGACGCATGAAGAGGTACGAAGACGCATGAAGACGCATGCAGAACGTATTACATCAATCTTTACGGCTTTCAAAGCAAGAGAAGAAAGAACAACTCTCACTCACTCACACACGCTCACACTCACACTCACTCTTCACTCACATTCACACTCACTCTCACTCACACTCACACTCCACACTCACTCTCATTCTCACTCACTCACACTCAAACTCGCACTCGCACTCGCTCTCACTCTCACACTCACTCACTCCCCCACTCCCACTCTCACTCACTCCCACTCCCGCCCGCGCTCACTCACCTTCACTCTCACTCACACTCACTCACTCTCACCCACACTAAAACTCACTCTCACGCGTCGGCGCGCGTCGTCACGCATCGTCACGCATCGTCACGCAGCGTCACGCAGCGTCACGCATCGTCACGCAGCGTCACGCAGAGTCACGCACCGTCGCGTATCGTCAGCGATAATTGGACACCTTCACAAACCTACTATACTTTGCGAATCTTTGCGATAGGGAGGGTGGGTGGGCATGGATGGGGGAAGATGGAGGGAGGGTGGAGGCTGTTGATGGAGGATGGAGGGGTGCACGATACGGGAGGGTGGACCGTACGGTAGTGGATGGGGGCTGTGGATAGGGGCGCGATACGGGAGGGTGGAGCGCGCACGCAGCACGGGCGCGATACGGTAGGGTGGCCGGGCGTGGACGGGGCTGTGGATGGAAGATGGAGGGGCGCGATACGGGAGGGTGGACGGAAGATGGAGGGGTGTGCGATACGGGAGGGTGGCTGGGGTGGATGGGGGCGTCGGATGCATGGAGGGGGCGTGCTTCCGGGAAGGGCATGGGCGGATGGAAGATGGAAGGGCGCGACGCGGGGCTGTGGGGGGGCGGGTGGAAGATGGAGGGGTGTGCGAGCGGAAGGGTGGACGGGATGGGCGGGGAGATGGAAGGGCGGACGGGAGGGGCGACGGGCTGTGGATGGAATATGGAGGGGGCGTGATACCGGCTGTTCACTTTCTTTGCTTTTGGGTCACGCGGGTTCTGTTTTGTCACCAAGAGCGCGACAGAGTTTTTCCTTTGCACAGCTCAAGTCCTCAGGCGTCAACAAAGATCCAGCCAGACATTGCCTCCTTCACGCCCATGATAACTCTGTTGACACGCAACAGAGATGCACGCTCGCTGCAGAACATTTTCTCGCGCATGCGAAGTGTGGCCTGACACTGATATCGCTGATATCGATCAAAGAAGGATGCTTTCTATTCAGCTTTTATTGGCATCAGGTAGTGAGGCAGACATTGTTTGCCACAAATGGTCCTTAAAATTTAAAACGTAAAATAACTTTCTTTGTCGCGTTGATTTCTGTTTTTGTCCACAGAGATTGGTCTTAGGCAGGGCTTGTGACGGATGGTTCGACAAGCGGTGTTATTGCAGGACCTGGATTGAAGAATGTCAATGGCAAACCTTCCATAATGACTGTGAACATACGGTGTTTGTTTGGCTCAGATACATGGCTGTGACATGCATGCCCTCTTCAAGGTTGGAACAGATTGTCAAGGGAATTGCTTGAATGGGAGGGGTGAAGCCAGAACCGTTCCTGTCCTGCCCTTTCTTCAGTTTACGCCACTTGTTGCAATTTCCTATCCTGAATCTTTGTAATTTGCGTCAGCTTTCCTGGATCAGGACAGCTTCCACCAGGACCTGTTAGCGCAAAGTGAAGCAGGCCTCGCTTTTGAGCAAGAAGGATTGAGTGTCAAAAGAAGACCGTATTTGGAATACAGATCAAGCTTTCGGAAGACCGATATTTGAGCGACGAGATGGTTTGAGAGTAGCTTTGCCAAAAGAGTGATAGGTGATATAGGAGGGCATAGATGTTCGTTTGTCGAAGGGTTGGGGTGGGGGTAGAAGCTTGTTCGCATGACGTTGATCTCGTGTTCACAACCATTTGCTATCGTTGGCTGGGGGATGCTTTAGCAGGAGGTCGAGGATGGAAGCATGAAGTGTCAGATTCGGGCAAAATAGATCAGAAACGGAACATGTCCAAGTGCGAAGGATGATTTTTGCTGCGCAGGTTCGCCCTGCCATTGGGATTGGCGTTCTCAGGGTGGTCTTGAAGGCCGCTGTGCCAGTGAGGTTTGCTCTCGAAGCGCTTGCCTCGAAGCCGTGCTTTCGTGATTACGTAAAAATTGCGATCTTGAGGGACCCGGGTGGAACAGCAATGCGTCGAAATCGGTCCAAGCGTGTGTGGCGCGGTTGAAATTTTGCTAGACATGTCACAGTGCGGCGTAGTCACTTTTTGTGGCAGGCGCAATACTTTGCGCGTGGCTGAGGCAGCATGGCACTGTCTTACAAGAGTGTCTGTGTCCCACAAGAGTGTCCTGCAAGTCCTACAAGAGTGTCCCACAACAGAGTGCCCACAAGATTGCCCTACAAAGCTGTCCCGCAAGGGTGCGTGACAAGAACGCCCCACACGAGTGTCCCACAAGAGTGCGCGGCAAGAGTGCCCCAAAAGAGTGGGCTACAAGAGTGCCTTACAAGAGCGCCCCACAAAGGGTGCCCGGCGAGAGGGTGAGAGTCAGGGTCAGAGTGGCCGACCAAAAAGTCCTACATGATTGCGCGACAAGAGTGTCCTACAAGAGCAGCGCACAAGACAAGAGGCCATCGCATCAAGATTCATATGTCCAATACCGATACCCCCAACGATCACATCCGCGTGTGGCCGCTTCATCCTTTCCACAAGGGTGGTCTTCAACCCAGCGTTGAAACCGCCCGATGAACAGCCTGAAGGTTGCACCCCTGCAACGAAGCATCAACTTCGTGACGCAAGTGCAAGCGAACGTTAACATGCCCCACCCCACCCCACCCAGAACCATAAAATCGCGATTTCCTCTGGGGTCGCTAACAGCGGCGATAGCACAAACAAGCAAGAAGATCCCTGGCACAAGGAGTAGCTGGGAGATTTCATTAAGCGACACGGCACAGGGTAGTCGACAAACCTGCTGACAATGGAAAATGTGTGCAGATCTCCCACACACACCAATGATCCTTTGTGCTGCACAAAAGAGGCATGTTGCAGCAAAAGCCACACTAATCTGGAAACCAAGAAAAGCAATCACACTCGGAAGAAACTGGCACGCAGTTATACACCGCATCCAGATGTTTGCCTTCAAGGAGCCAAGAAAGCGCAAACAGCTTGTCAAAGTCCAACTCAAACCTTCATCAGCAGAGCTGTCCTGGCATACCTCATATACACAGCTTTTCGGCTAAACACTGACTCACCTCCAAAATCTTCCCCGTCATCATAGACGAGATCATCCCTGATTGACTGTTCACAGTCAAGACTCACCTTTACAAGAGTAGAAGAACTCTTCCTGGATCCCAAACCGCAAACAGCTTGCTCCAGTAGCAACAACTCGCACAGCTGGAGCTTCTAGATTTGCTGCATCACACTCAAAATTGTCCGGGTTGCTGCTGCCAAAGTTGGCGCAACAAACCTCTAGAGGGAACTGATCTGTTACGCGCCTCTAACGATCGTCGAGCTTGTCCAGCCCTGGCGATCGAGGCATTTCGTTTTCGTGGCCCACTGGGACTTCAATAGGCAGGGGTGGCGTATAGGGCCCACTCCTTTCTGCCGATACCTTCTTTGGTTTGAAAGGTTGGAGAACACAATTCTTGTCATTCTTGTCTTCCATCTGGAATGTGGCTCCCGGATTCATCTTGGCTTTTGCAGCCTTCTGCATTGCCTTCTCGTCTGCGTCCTTCGCCTTCTGAATGAGCGGCAAACTTGCATTGGTCAAATAGGACTCCGGGTTTGCTTGCGCATTGAGAGCTTCGCAGCGCTCCGAGACCTTGTCAGCTCGGATTTGAGCCAAGTGTGGTCCCGGTCGTCCACACCACTCTCCAGTTTGGCGATGATCGCTGCCCTTTTTGCATCTTCCATGACAGTGGTGCTTCGCCTTGGCATAGGCTTCGCTCTCTCCGCTCCCTGGAGCTCATTGCCGCCACCAGCTTGGTCACTTGATCGGTCAGCTGAACGTTCCTCTGCTCCATTGCACTGGCATACTTCATCATTTGGTCGAGTTGTGTTTTCACATCCATAAGTTCTTGGCGCACATAGTACCTGGTTCAACTCTTCCAGCTGAGATGTGTATCTCTTCTCTTCTTGTGCCAGTCCCTGTGTAATGTTCTCTTTTCAACTGGCATAGTATGCCTCCGCTGTTTCCAGCTCTTCTTGCTTTGTTCAGGCTTTCCCTTTCTTCGTTCAATTTTTTTTGTCTCTTGCGCAGTGGATGAGAGTTCTCACTGCATTGAGATCTTGCTCCGACGGCCTTTCTGTCTCCATCACCTGTCGCATGGCAGCTTTCAGCCTTTGGTTCTCTTGCTTGAGCGACGACTTCGTTTGCCAGTGCGGTCCATATGAGGATGACCATTTTCTACCCCTCGAGTCTCCATCTAACTGAA